GAACGATCGACCTCAAAACGTATCTAAGATTTGAGCTTCTCACAGTGGCGGGATATAACGACGTGTTGTCCGTTTAGGTCAACCGATATTTCGGAGGAAAATATCGCCTCCATCTTCAGGGAAGAATATAGTGTGGAAGAAATGAGCGTGAAAACAATTACTTAATGATCCGCACTGGAAACAATCTCTGCAGACGATACAGTATCGTTAAATAACAATACGAACCAAACGAACCATTAACTCCTGGAAACATGCGTTTTACTTTCCACCGAGATGTCCGTCTGACACGTCACTTGGCTGAAGTGAGGAGGCCTGATAATAATCGCATTCGCTGCTTTTACTTTTTACGTGCATCGCCCTTGAACCACGTCTGGTTTTGCCAGAATACATAAATACAATACACGTTTGCCCTCGATTACAAAAGGACTTGCACGTAGAGTCAATTCAAGGCTAACACCCAGTCAATAGGACATCAGCCACGGTGGACGTGGAAGATAACTCCAGACAGACTGAAACCTGCCAACTTAACATGTTTCTTTGCTTGAAGTCACAATAGTGGCACCTCCAACTTAAAACAAACATCACGAATACGGAACGTTGTAGCTATATAGTAGGGTCCATGCTAGATTTGTGGTTGCCACACCGGTATCGATATACATTCACCGACGTTTCGGAGGAACATATTGCTTTCATCTTTAATACTGTCAAGTGTAGGGGTGCGTGACTATTAACGGATTTTGGATTAGATGATTGGATTTCTTGACACCTTATACGCGCAACTCGTAACTACAAGTAATACAGCTCTATCGCTGATCTAGACACTTCACAAATCACTAGGACATGCAAAATCGTATCCTAGCAACGGATTTCAACACAGCAGTTATACCAGTCTCGCTGTAATTGCAGCACACATGAAGTATTCTCTGCACAACCTAATTCCTTTCTTGCCACTTCTTAATTATTCTGCCAACTGCCAACTCCATAACTCAGCTCGATTTTAATTCTACCTGCCCGAGAACCTTGTCACAGCCTCGGGGTGGCCCCCACAGAAACACAGATTCCTCTATTCTTGCGTGTTGATTCGCTGCTGCTAACATGTGTTCACCGCACAGTTGCGCAGTAACGCGAGCGGCGTGGGCCACAGAAAACATCGCTCTTCTATTGTCGTGCGCGGTTGCTTCCGTGGGAATGTGTTAACGGAGCGTTAGTTTTCTTTCGTTACTATACCCCTGAAAAGTCAATATAAATTAGTGAACACAATCCCAATATGGGATGAGACATCGTTCCTGAATGTAGAAGGGCGCGCATGTTGAAGCTGTTTAGAATTCTGCAGTATTGATTCTATAGGTTATACAACTTTTTAAGTTACACTTTCATATTCCATACATCGTTTTATTTTGTTGTCTCCGGTTTGAAAATTATAGGCCATGGAAACCACGACAACAGAATCACCCTGTACTAACAACGATCAGTAGCACACGCCGATCAAAGTGGCCGCGCGGCATGAAATGTCTTCGCCCGTTCGAACTTTTGCACCGTAGGTTCGAATCCCACTCAAGGCATGCATGTCCGTGTTTAATCTGTGCTCGTGTTAAGTAGCGGCCTTATGACGGGCTGATCCCCCCCCCCCGGCCAAGGAGTCCTACCGATTGTCTAAGATTAAGAAAGTGAAGTGAAAGATCAGCAGCAACCAGAACAAAGAAAGTGCAAGATAAGAGAATTAGACAGATAGACATGGAAAGAGAGACATAAAAGGGCACGGAAAAGCCCAACATAAAGAACTGTAATAAACCATGGAAGACAAGAATTAAAGTAGGCACAGAGACAGACGGAAGTAATTCGAAACATTCCAATATGCGGAAGCAGTGCTGATACTACAGCAAAGTGAAACATGGCGCCGTTTGTACATAACACGAAACTGGGGCCTAGTCTGCTCTGTCTATGTAATGTAATATGTACGCCTTGAGAACACAAACAATTCCTCCTCTCCTGCCTCGCATTTAACCTAGTCTAGACAGCAATGGAATTTACACATAAAACGCTTAAAAAACTCCCCTTGTGAGCTTCAATCCCCGCTGGATAACAGTTAAGACAACAAAGCTTAAACTACCTCTTGAACACAGGCAGCTGATGTATGATACATTTTGTAGCCCAGACACTCAGCGGTGCTTATCACAGCACACAGACTGATCTTTGGAGAGATCAGCGTTGAGAATTTACACCAATTTTGCAACTGATGCTTGTGACAAGAACATCCTTCTAAGGAAACGGGACACATAATATCTTTAGGTACAAGGAACACCAAATCAATTCAAGGCACACATGACCAGGTGAGCGGCACGCCAAAAGGGGTACAGAGAAGCCGCAATAAAAAGACAGAAGAGCAGACATTCTCAAAACACCAAAATTGAGAATAACGACGTGCATCAGCGAGTACTAGTGACATAAGCGGGCACAGTGTAGTAGATTCCATCAAAATACGTTGCCTGAAGGTGGCCTTGTGAGGTTAAAACATGTAAAAAAAGGTAAAGCTATCCCTCTAACAGGCCGTGAAGGCCCATAGGGTTGTGTGACGTCGAAGCTCCCACATTTTCTAGGCAATCGGCTCACAGATGGCGGTGAGGTTGTCAGCATTACACGCCGGCCGCCCTTTACCCCTCGAGAAGTTTCGTGGTACTCATTTCTGTTAGAGGCTGAGTCGACCCCAGCGCCATAGCTGGAAGGATTAGATCAACTGAAAAAAAATCCACCTCATCAGGACTTGAACCCGCGACCTTCCGGCTTGTAGCACATATCTAGATATAGAATATATATTTTAATGATATTTTAAGAACATTTTAACTTGCATTTTAGTGAGCTGAATAAAAACGTGTTTCGCATTACAGACGGAAGAGAAACTGCACATGTGATCTGAGGATTGGTACTCAATCTACAGTACTTCTACTGAGTTCCAATGTTGACCCTTTAAGGTCCAGTGGTTACTGTCTGTAACATCTTCGTTTTGTATGCTGCTCACGGAGTGTCTATATTTTTCGAATGACTCTCATAATAAACACTGATTTTTATGCATCGCTTAAAATTTAAAAGTAGGCTTATGCGATCTGTAATTCTTCCCCTATTAACTTTAGAATGCCTGAACCAATCTTTATGAAACTTGGTATGTATGACACTCGAACCCATCTCAACGGCGTACTTCATAAATCTTTTCCATAAATTTCTCCGTCTGTATTTTATCTTCATAGTGTTGCTAAGCAACGGCTCGGCGGAAAAAAGAAATGTTACAGCGGCAACGAAAACACACGCAACAATAGAAGAATCGCTGGAAGAGTCGTTTTACATGCGGTACGTGTCGTATCAAAGGCAAGTAGACGATCATTTCTTTTCAGAACTTCTTGGTAAATGTTATTTATAACAGATTCAAGTTTAAAAGGATTAAAATGCCGTATGTAGTTGAAGCAGCAGTAACTGTATTATGGAGACACGCCGGGTCTCTCAAATAACATCAAGCAAGTGGGTCTTCTCCCGAGAACTCTTGTGCATATTAATAAATGCTTCCCCGTATGCTTAATAATAAATGCTTCGCCAACACAACACGAATTTAGATGAGCACAGTCAACGAGTGACAATCACTGGAAATACACTCCTGGCTGTGGCATTGACTAATATGCTTACGTGTAAGCCCAGCTTGATGTCTGTCTACACCAGAGGTTAGCGTACTATCCTAGCATTATCAGGTCAGAAGTTCGATCACAACTAAGAGTTCTAATCATAATATTAAAAAAACAATAAACAATGTAAGTATTATGACAACTAGTCACTTGAAGCAACTCCCGAAACGTCGTGCCAACTAAATATACCTAAAAACTACTGGAAATATCTAATACAACAAGGACAGGAAATTAAGCCCAGCTTGATGTCTGTCTACACCAGAGGTTAGCGTACTATCCTAGCATTATCAGGTCAGAAGTTCGATCACTCTACACCAGAGGTTAGCGTACTATCGTAGCATTATCAGGTCAGAAGTTCGATCACAACTACGAGTTCTAATCATAATATTAAAAAAAACAATAAACAATGTAAGTATTATCACAACTAGTCACTTGAAGCAACTCCGGAAACGTCGTGCCAACTAAATATACCTAAAAACTACTGGAAATATCTAATACAACAAGGACAGGAAATTTGTAATATGTTTGCATTTTGAAAAGTAACTACATGCAATTTAATTAGCATTACATAAGTATCTGTGTTTAATAACTTTTATGCTCAAATAATGGACGAAAATACGAACGAGAGTAAATGTGAATTTATATAAATCATGTGTAGTATACAATACGGAGTGACTATATGAGAATCAATGACCATTACGAGTATATGCTTATGCAACTAATAACACGGAAGTACGTGTAATCTGCATTACATACATTCACTCTTAAAGGTTCTGTGTTATCTTCAAGGTAAACCAAATTTTCAGCGACGATATTTCATGAACCTGGCTTAGCAAGAATTCAGCGCCGGCTCGTAAACTTATCCAAACGTGGGGGTAATGCCGATAAGCAGATAAAACTACAATTATATTAACATATTACAAAAATACCAACGACAACAAAAGTGAATTTATATAAAAATCACATATTATATAAAATGGAGTGACTATATGAGGCCAAATGTTCAGTAAGAGTATATGCTTATGCAATTAAAAACATGAAGGTATGTGAAAACTGCATTCTTTAATCTACGATATTTCAACTACCTTCGTTTAGCAAGAATGCAGTGGCGGCTCGTAAACTTATTCAAACGTGGAGGGTAGCGCCGATAAACAGATAAAACTACAACTGTATCCAGATATTACGAAAATTCCCATACATTTTTACTTTAAATTATAATCATTTATCAATTTTTAAACTTCTATTTCAACTGAACACCATAATTCACAATCACCGCTCTCTACGGTTTCTAACGGCGACTTAGTGATAACACATCAAACATAACTCCGTTACCTGCATCAAATACATTGTGGTGATCCTTGAGTGCAGTTCCCAGTTAGTTGTATCCCAAGCAGTAGAAGTTCGTTTCCGTTCAAGAAGCAGTTGGGCTCATCTCAAGTTCGAACTGCACCGTCCAAATCCTTGTGCCTTCGCCAAGGTGGGCTTCATGCGGGCCTTCCTCCTTGTCACAATCTATTCTTACCCGAGATCTACAGAGCGCTTGGGCGCCAAGTGTAACCAGATGCTGTCCACACACACATGTGGAGGAACACACGCAGAAGAAACACGCTGTTAACGTAGCAGATGATGTTCTACATCCAGCGAGAGGCCAAGAAAGTTAAGATACATCAGTTAGAAAGAGTCGGCAGTCGGCCAGAAAGCAAGTACACTCATTGTCTTCAGGGCTGAAGTGTTCTTAGTATGGGCTACTGTGCACAGCAGTCAACTCAGAGTTTACGACATAACAAGTCTTAGTTAATTAATATCTGATATTTTATATTAAACATTTATCTCACAACGAACTAACTTTGAATACAGGCTTATCATTCCTCGTTTGTGTTAGTAAATATATTTCTGGCCACAATATATTAGTGAACACATGTCAGTCATACGCCACTGAATGGATTTATGTATTTTCACGTAACATTAAGTCATACAAAAGACACACAATCCCATGAGGACTGAAACATGTAGCAGGTAAAATAAAATCCAATCTGAGTAATATTGATTGATCATCAAATAATTTGCTACGTTGATGGCTAACCTTAACAGGATGCACACTGTGAAGACACATAACCTGATTTTTAGAGTTCGGGTGTTGACGCGTCTTAATATTCGTTATAGTTCCGTAATTCCAATTCGATTTTGAAAATCGTTTCTGAACTGCATTAACATACCCTCTGAACCGTATCGTCTGCACATAACCACACACACGACACACGCTTTGCCTGCAACTTCTGCACGTACTGTATTAATATTTTGTTGCCTGCAGTTCTGTTTGTATTTCCTTCCTCAGTACCGCTAAGATAATGCCGCGAGTTTCAATATATAACCTTGAAGAAACAGCAGCAGTCCCTGCTCCTCAGCGATGGCGAAGCAACACATTACCGCGTCCCATACTGTCTGTGACATCCGTGGTCAACATCATACTCACCGTGACCCACTTTCGCATTTCGTCTCTGAGCGAGTGTTACTGGCTCCAACGCAACTTAACCTTCTGACCACGCGGTTCTTTTCATGTCTGAATCACTACTAGGTGATATTTTATTAAGTAATTACACTGTCCACTTACTAACACCCTTCTGTTTATGTGGGAAAACAAAATCCAGATATCCCATACTAAAATATCAATTCCTTTAATGAAATATAACACACTCGAGTCCTACTTAAAAACGGCCAACAATACAGGTGGGCAACGCTATTCTATACGGAGTTTAGATAACACATATGACAACACTATATTTGGTTGAACGCCGCTACATGATAAGCCTTCATTTTAAACACAATAATCCCAGTTCCGAAAGCACACACACACACGTACATACTCTGTTACGAAAGCCGGATGAATCACTCCACGTACAAGCCCTTCATCTTCTCACGTTCACAGAGAGAATGAACACTCCTACTCTGCAAAATACAGTAGTTTCTTTATCACGTTTATCTTACAAACATGACAGGTGACAGCATTTATCTTTAACCATTAAAATTGGCGAAAATATGTAATCTTCTAACACACAGATGGACGGAATTAAACATAAATAGACAAAACGTAGATTTCCAAGACGAATGCTACTGTTGTATTGAATGGTTCATATAACTGACTGGCATAGCTCCAAAACGTTATACGAATAAACTAGATGACGTATTAGGAACAGGTTTAATGTGAAGAAACGAGTTCTACAAGTCTGCGAAATATACAGACCAATCTAAACAGTCGATTTAGGTTACAAATCTCACGCACACGATTGAAGTTGCCTACGGCGGGGAAAGGTACGCACACACAGATGAGCTTCATTACTCTTAAGACACCAACTAGTTTCTCCTCCAACAATTTCACTTCTCAGTGTTTGTGCCCACACAATATAATATTTGCCTAAGCTTCGTGCATACCACGTCCGTACTTGGCGCACGCCACACCAAAACTGTTTCGAGCGCTAGGCATGTCAAGCTACGATACATGACGTCCCGTGCCAGCACGGCCGGCCCGCAGGCTCGTCGTTACATTCCTGTCCCTGTAGCATACTGAAGAGACATGCCCCACTGCCTGCCTTCATGCTCCCAAAACGCTCGGTCCCTTTGAAAGCATAAGTGGACTTCATTTGTAACAAAGCCAACGCAATGTGTCACCGCCACATTCTTCTGTGTGCGCAACAAAACTTTTCAACCTATTTTAATTAAACTGGTTTTAACCATTTGCTCTTAATATTCACTTTTTTTTCCCCTTGGCACTACAGCCCCAGTGGGCGTAGGCTTACCTCCATGAACTTCTCCGTTCACTTCGGTTTTTCTAGATCTTACACATTCGGTAGGACTCCTTGGGCGGGTGATCAGCTCGTCGCAAGGCCTCTCTACCTGTACACACACAAACTAAACATCCATACCCTGAGTGGGATTCGAACCCACGATCCCGGTTTCCAAGCGAGCGAAGACAGTACATGCCTCAGACCGCTCGGCTACCGTGACCGGCCACGACTTATTTTAACTGCATTAATTTCTGTAACCGTTACAAATCTATGTTCAACAACATATGTAAAGTCCTTCCTTCGCAGTGCCAGTAGTTGCCGAAACATGTAAAGGCAAAATTTTTACTCACACCCATTAACCCTTCAAAGCCCAGTGGTTACTATATGTACCACCTGTTTTAACACACTAAAACACACGTGGGATTTAGGAGCAGGAGGAGTTTAAAAGAATGTATTGAGGGCACCTGGAGAGACTGAAACCACGCAAGAACGTATCCAAGATTGGCTTGAGCTGGATGAGGGAGACCCTGCATTTCAGCTTCTGACAGAGGAAGAAATTTCTGCAGTGATTTTTCTTCTATATACGTTTTCGTCAGCACCATCCATCCATTATCAATCTATGGTTCTACAGCCCCATTGTTGGAACTTGGCCGCTTTTTTTCAGTTTCTTAATCCTATACACAATCGGTACGACTCCTTGGAGGGGGATCAGCCCGTCGCAAGGCCGCTACCTACACACATAACAACACAAACACAGAATAAGCGCACACACAGACATCCATGCCTTGAGTGGGATTCGAACCCACGATCTCAGCGTTCGAGCGAGCGAAGACAGTAAAAGGTAAAGGTAAATTTGTCCCTATGCTTAACTAATTAAGTTCTATGCCATGAAGGCGTATGGGGGAGTGGATGTATAGATCCACATTTTCTTGACCTCGGCACTAGTTGGAGGTGAGTGGTCAGCTTCACGCCTCGGCCGTTTTACCCCCGTGGAGGAGTCCCCGGTACCCATTGTATAGGAGGTTGGGTGGACCCCAGAGCCGGTCCCGAGACGATATTAATGCAGGAGTAAGTGCCTCCCATATATTTTTTATTTCGTGGGGTAAGGTTGGATTGAGTCCACTTCGCACTTCGGCCACTGGTGGGCTTACTGTACCAGCCCCGGATGATACATGAGTGTGAAACAGTTTGTGGGATGAGAATTTGCAGGGGAAACTGAAGTACTCGGAGGAAACCTGACCCGGCGCCGTTCTGTCCACAACAAATCCCACATGACCTGAACTGGGCTCGAACATGAGCAGCCGTGGTGGGAAGCCGGCGACTACCCGTTGGCTTGTGAGATCACCATTTTGTGTCGAAATGCCATCAAAAAGCGACACTGAGTAAGCCTAAAAAGGAAGTCTGTACCAATATTTCGACATATCTTTGTTTCTTAGCAGCGCAACCAACGTCCACAACATCAACTGTTTTTGACTCATGCTGTTTTCACAGACAATTATTATTATTATTATTATTATTATTATTGGAGGGGGTGGGTTTCCCCATGCACCGCGACCAGTTTGATCTATTGTACGTCCCCTTGTGATATTTTACCAGTCTCTATACCCTACCGGTACTGGTGCGTGCCATCAGTCCCGACTCAGCCAGCGAGTTCGGCCTCTACTGGCTCAGCGGTATCTAGATGCTTCCCCCATCTACCAGAGGCGTTAGAGATTATTGTTGGGCGGGAAATGTCCTTACAAATTTAGCTCAGAGGTCTCCTTGAGACATGAAGTTCTTTTACGTGCCGTAAAGCTACGGGACCCACGGCTTAATGTCCTTCCCGGAGGACTTGTTCCCTGAATTTTTCCGCCCTTAAAAATTCCACGACCTCCGCCGGGTTTGAACTCGCGTACCTTGAGTCATGAGGTGGGAACGTTACCCCTAGACTACGGAGGCCGCTTTTCACAGACAATAGTCTAAAGACAATACCTCAGAGTTGCATCTACATACATGACATGTAAAAGCCTCGAATATATCATGTCTCTCTGTCTCTGATATTTCCTGTGCTGTCCATGAATATAGTGCGTGAACAGGCCAGGAAACAGCCAAAGCGTATGTAGACTCAAACGTATCGACCAGAAGTACGGTGAACGGTAAGGCCTATCTCTAGATAACTGCCTCGGAACATTCCCTTATTCTCTACACACAGATATGATAGGATGCGACTGTTCACCATATACTTTACTAATGTAGGGTGTACAGCATTCGAATGCAGTTCAGGAATGATGGACAACTTACGCCGAAGACAAGTAGAGCAGAAAACCAGTGACTGTTCATTTTGTACAGTTTTGTTGGTAGTAGGAGGAGCCGGGATAGTTCAATCGGTATAGCTACTGGCTACGGGGCTGGGCGACTGACGGGTCGAAGTTCGAGTCCCGGTAGGGTCAAGAATTTTCTATTCTCCACGTCGCCCAAACCAGCTCTGGGGCCCACCCAACCTCCTATCCAACGGATATCGGGGGCTCTTTCCCCGAGGATAAAGCTATAGGGGCATGAAGCAGAACACTCATCTGCACCTAGTGCCGAGGTCAAGAAAATGTGGATCTATACATCCACTCCTCCATACGTCGTCACGGCGTAATGCTTAATTAGTTAAGCACAGGGACAACTTTACTTTTTTATGTTTGTAGCAGGAGTGGCCGTGCGATATACGACACGAAATATCTTCGCTCGCCCGAACATTGGAGACTTGGGTTTGAAACCCACTCGAGGCATACATGCATGTCTGCCTCTTGTGTAGGCAGAGGCTTCGCGCCCGGCTGATCCCCCATCAACGGTGTTCTACTAACTGTCTGTACGATTCATAGTCTTCCAACACACCAACTAAGCACCAAGGCATAGCGAAAACCAACCTCGCAATCCACGCTACAAGCTGATATATCCATTCGCCTCAAAATAATCGGACACCAGCTCACATCTAGTCACCTACAGCAAAAGAAGCCCCTTGTGCTGACCAATCAACACACACCTACACGCAAAAATAAAAATCTGGTACACCAAAAACGCGTGCAACTACGAAGTCCACCTACAACGCACACCTATCAACATCTTAAATATACCACCCTCCATTTTTACAAATATTTATAAAAAATCTACCTAAATTACTGAAGCTACTTAATTTTAACCTTCCACGTACCAGGAAGAGTCAGCAAATAGGTCACAAATAGAAGTAAAAATGGATGGAATACATTCTCTATGTGTATCACTAGGTAGCAGCACAGTCCAGCTTCATGTCAGTGTAGGCAGCAGACGAGCATGCGCATGCACAGAGGCTGGTTTCAGTAGTCAAAACGACAACCGTACTACTGAAGAGCAACGTTCTGTTATGTGTCTTTTGTGAACAATGGGACTCAATGCAAAAAGAAATATCTTCTGTTTACGGTGGAAAGTGTTTGTCGCGTAAAGCGGTTCACAAGTGGGTCCAGAAACATGGTAAACGTTTCGCTGATGACGAAGAGGTTGGAATGGAAGTGCGGAAGTGGCTGAGACAGCAGTCAAAAGACTTCTATGCTGCGGGTTTTCGAGGCACTGGTAAAGCGATGGGGCAAGTGTATCAGTGTTGGCGGAGAAATAAATGTCCCTCCCCCCCAGGTTCGAAAGTCACATGTTATACGTTCTATACCCATTTGTGGCCTATTTTCTGCCTCTCCCTCGTAGAACATACATCGTTCATGAATGTTACTGTCTTTATTGATGAAAATTAAATGTAAAAAACTAATCCATTTTAACTGGCAGATGACCACCTGATGATGATCTCTACAGATCAAAACATGTAGTGGGATACAGAAAATAAAACTCAGTTCCAACACCCTAATATCAGTTTCATAATCAGCAGGGTCCGGATTCTGATGACATGTCATCTTTTTTTCCTTGTATCCTATTCGAGCCCGTAAATATATAAATCCCGGAGATGAGCTGCTGGTTACAGAAATGTAACTTTTATAGGTCATTTTTAAGTTTTAGGTCATTCTTTAGGTTTCCTGGTAATTTTTCGGTAAATTTTTGGACTTTTAATGGCACACGCACTTTTGTCACTTCAGCCATTTTAGGGAAATGTTCTTCATATGTTTTCAGAAATATGAATAATATGCAAGTAAAGTGTTCTTTTTCTTACTTCTTCTCCTGCCTCTATAAACGCAGCCTACAGCTGCACCCCAAGTACATCCTATCAAAGTATGCAATAATAAGTCGTAATATTGTCCCGTCCTTTCCTTTCGTTTTGCGGAAAGTGCTGACAGTACATACCATAAAACATTTTAAGCTGGCAGCAGGGTAAGACAGCGGTCACTCACACTGCGGCCCTTTCCAAGTTCTGTTCAAAGGAATTTGCTTAGTTAAAAATATTTCTAGTCGGAAACCCTCGCTTTATATGACATTGTTGCGCAATAAAACTCTGTCTGCAGCTTCTCGCCCTTGACTGTACAGACAAAGATACAGTTGACGAAAGGTTCTCAGTGTGTAAAGTTCAGTTCTGTGTTGCGCTAGAGTGATTCATTTTATCACGATGCCTAAAGCAAAGCCATCTAAATCGTGTCACTTAAAGCAGATTGTAGCTGAATTTGGAGACGATATACGTCTATTTCATTTGTCAGAAACTGAGTGGATCCCACGGCCATATTGCGGCTGGAAGGGTTAGGTCAACT